ATAAATGGCTCATTCGACCACTTCTGCCACATCCAATTAAGTCTGAATCACATTTTTATTTACGCTTACCTCTGCCACTCGGTGGGTGGAACTAAACCGAGGTGGTAAGCCAGCCAAAACGCAGTGCTGGTGGGTGGCATTGAGGTCATCTGCAGGAAAAATACCAAAAATTAAAAACAAAACCACACGCACACATTTATTAGTCACGATATACTATTTAACCAAAATACAAAGTAAACAGTAAATCCACCATTCAAACAACGGCATTACTTTGTATTCTTTAAAACATCCTTTACTTAAAAAATGGCCAACAAAACCATGACATTTTTAAGAGTGAGACGGGATGTTATTAATAATTATCCCAGGACGACAGGTGCACACCAGGACCGTCCTTAACAACCGCGATGGCTGGTTTCCTTCCTTACTTGTAGTCTTAGGACAGTCACTCCCCACCCAGTGAAAAATGCATGGATTGAACTTCATCCTTTCTCATGACAGATCTAATTGTACCCATGATTTCAGAAGAAGCTGAAATTCTTTCATGCCATTTGGGGTCGAGTAACTTTCATCTGAAAAATCTGCTTCTTTCTCTTCCCAAGCCAAGCATCAAGTTTACCCTTAGCAATTTTCCAGGCAACAAACCAACCAGCTCGGCATGTTGCAAAGCTCTGGCTCTCAGAACACAACTCAAGCCTATGGGATGGAGGAGGTGGTGAGTTCATCAGCGGAAGAATGTGCCTAAAACCACAGGCAGCGGGGGTGAAAGCAACAATGGCCAAGTAGTTGTGTATTCTAAGGAATGAAGCCACATGTCAGGCAAAACCGGAGCCAGCTCCACCTGGGACGGCACTTCCGGGATCACAAAGGAGAGACGTGAACAGCACTGTTCCCCCGCAACACGGGCGTTCCATTTAGAGAACAGACGCTTCTTATCTGGACACCTTACATGTCAGCTGAGGGCAAAGGCTGCTGGAGATGCACCTCACAGCTTAACAGCAAGCCTTAAGAGATCTGAACTTTTTCCAGATAATTAAATTACTCATTAGAGCGAAGGCTAACACTATTTAAAAGACTTTAACAAAATCAGACACCCAGCAATTAAAATTTGCAATGTCCAGTGTCCATTCAAAAATTAACATAAGAGAGAAATGAAAGGCACATGATAGATAATACATAAGATAGATGCATCTTTTTCTCATATAGGTATCTTTTATATATAAATAAAATGAAGCTTCAAAAACAAAAAAAAAGCCCTAGCGGTTTGGCTCTGTGGATAGAGCGTCGGCCTGAGAACTGAAAGGTCCCAGGTTTAATTCCGGTCAAGGGCACATGCCTGGGTTGCACGCTCGATCCCCAGTTGGGGGGCGTGCAGGAGGCAGCCGATCAATGATTCTCTATCATCATTGATGTTTCTCTCTCTCTTCCTCTCTGAAATCAATAAAAAATATATATATATTTAAAAAGAAATAATCATGGGTGCAAAGAGAGGTGTACACAGTTTGCTGGAGCCTTATGCATGGCATCAAAACACTGGGAATGAGTTAAACAGCCAAAAGGAGGGGATTCCTATGTAGGCCACTTTCAAACAACCCAGTTTTCAAGGAATCCGGAGTAAGAAAAAATGTCCAAGACATAAGAATATTGAAGGAAAAACAAGATACGAAGTATTATATAAAAGAAATAAACATATTCCCACGTATAGAAAGAAACACTAGAAGGAATCAGACTAAAAAGTTATGACTGGCAGGATCTCTGGGTGGTGATATGATGAAGTATTTTTCTTATCCATTTTACCCTTTCCTACAGTTTGTAAACTTTCTACATAGACTACACACCGTGGTTCATCATTTCCAAGGTACACATTTTTCTTCCTGGTTAACGTCTCTGAAATTGGATACATCTTAAAATCCATGGCGTCTTTAACTGGATGACATATATCGCTATTTTCGTACTTAGCAAGGAAAAATAGGACAGTAAATATCATTATTTTTGAAGGATCCAACGGCAAATGTTCAATGAAGAGAGACTCCGAAAAGAGGTGCTCATTGCCCAAATAAAAACGATGGCGCTGAGCGATCGCTGAGGGTCGGAGGAGCTCCAATTAGATTTGCCTCTCTCCCCTCAAATACAATTTTCCATGGGCGTGCAAACGCTTCTACAAAAACAAGTACAGAGGTGAGGATGGCCTCAGGGTGCACAGCTCCCCTCTTGGGTGTGTGTGTTTTAATTAACTTTTTTGGAATGCTTAGTTTGTTGTTGGGTTGTGGAGAGAACAGATTCTTGAGGTTAATCATTCGTTTCTGCTTTCTGAATGTGGGAAGGGAACGCTAATCCCGCTTTGGCTGCAACGCTTCCCAAGAGACAGGAGGGCAGAGGGGGCTGGGGCGATGGAGACAGGAGAAGGGACCAGGGTCCGGCTGCCAGGTGACCCGAAGGAGGTAGTTTTCTTCTTTTCCCCGTTGGTATATGAGACCCGTCACCTCTCCTCCCTTTCCCAATAAAGCCGATGAGTGAAACGGAAGCAGCCACGTAAGCCTCTCAGACCTGATCCTTCACATACCTTTTGACTTCCCTCTTTAAAAAAAAAAATGATGTTTTACTGACTTCAGAGAGAGGAAGGGAGAGGGAGAGAGAGATAGAAACATCAATGATGGGAGAGAATCATGGATCGGCTGCCTCCCGCACACCCCACACGGGACCAAGCCCACAACCTGAGCATATGCCTGGGAATCGACCCGTGACCTTCTCGTGGACAGGTCGATGCTCAACCACTGAGCAACACAGGCCGGGCTTGACCCCCCTCTTTATTCACTCCTCTCTCCCATCTAATTTCCCGTTGGCAATACAGGAAGATGGCTATGGTTTCTGACTGATGTCCAGGGAGGAAGAAAGGATGTGCTATCCCGATATGTGGTAAGTTCCTGCTGTGCACGAGGCACTACATGCTGTGGGCAGTACAAGAATATATATAATACTGGTAGCCCCGCACACGAATCTGTGCGCCAGTAGCTCGCTGCTGCCCTCCTGTAGCTCTCCACCTGCTGCCCCGCCCTCCTGTAGCTCCCCCTCCCGTCCTCATAGCTTGCTGCCCTGCCCCCTCCTGTAGCTCTCCGCCACCTGCTTGTAGCTCGCTGCCCAACCCTCCTGCTGATCCGTGATCCGGTCGTTACGCGGTCGGTCATTACGTAACGACCATTTGCATATTACATCTTTATTATATAGGATAGTAGCAACTCCCTAAAAGCTCACCTCCAGCAGGTAAGATGTGACTTCTGTATCAATCACTACAGTCCAGAGGGAAGTTATGACACCCTCACTGATCGGTTGGTGCCCCTGCCATCCTGGGCATTAAGTTTTTTTAATGTCACCTCTAAGTAGGTGACACATACTACCCCTAGGTGAAGGGAAAAGCATGACATGGTGGAGGGAACAATGTGAACAAAGATAAGGAAATGTGTTTGT